AAGTTTACTCAGTCAAAATGATCAATTAGACAAGAGGCCCGCCAACAAAGCTCTGCAGCAGACACTTGTCTTGGACCAGTTTTCTTCAATCTCTACTAGATGGCGCTGTTCATCCACATTACAGCATGACTGCGGCCCCTGTAAAGACTAGCTTTAATCCTAGCATTTAAACACTGCAGCCATTCATAACCATGAGTGTGTGCACGGTTACTCGGATGCGTGCTGATTAATAGACTGCTTTTACCCAGCTCGAGCAGTCCACTATCAGCGATAGTAGCGCATTTCTGACTTACAATCCACTTTTCTTTAGTTAGTCACAGTGAGTGTACAATTAATTATTTGTCTTATATATTTTTATTTTTGAGAATATTTTATTTTTTAGGACATAATAACGTAATATTTGCATACTGTTAAGTTATTGTATGAAGCAGTATGGTTAGCGTTATATGGGTAGTGTAGTAGGGTGTGATTGTTTGTTTGAGATACTGAAGTGAATGTGTGTGTGTGTGTGTGTGTGTGTGTGTTTACTTCATTGTGTTGTCAGAGTCCTTCAGCCCGCCCCCTCTGGAGCCCAGGCCGCTCTAGCGCTCTAGCTCGGCTAAACTGGTCCACAAACTCTGTCTAAAGCTTTATACAGAAGGATATCAGCGCTTCTACCATGACTGCTGGATTCAATCATGGGCGATAATCAGCCACAGACCAGTTTCTCTGTAACTCTGATCTTTCTGAATGAGAACGACTTGAAGCAAGATCTGCCGACTGCCGTTATTGTATGAAGCAGTATGGTTAGCGTTATATGGGTGGTGTAGTAGGGTGTGATTGTTTGTTTGAGATACTGAAGCGAATGTGTGTGTGTGTGTGTGTGTGTGTGTGTGTGTGTGTGTGTGTGTGTGTGTGTGTGTTTTTCTTTTTGTGTTGTCAATAGACTGCTTTTACCCAGCTCGAGCAGTCCACTATCAGCGATAGTAGCGCATTTCTGACTTACAATCCACTTTTCTTTAGTTAGTCACAGTGAGTGTACAATTAATTATTTGTCTTATATATTTTTATTTTTGAGAATATTTTATTTTTTAGGACATAATAACGTAATATTTGCATACTGTTAAGTTATTGTATGAAGCAGTATGGTTAGCGTTATATGGGTAGTGTAGTAGGGTGTGATTGTTTGTTTGAGATACTGAAGTGAATGTGTGTGTGTGTGTGTGTGTGTGTGTGTTTACTTCATTGTGTTGTCAGAGTCCTTCAGCCCGCCCCCTCTGGAGCCCAGGCCGCTCTAGAGCCTCCTCTCGGCTAAACTGGTCCACAAACTCTGTCTAAAGCTTTATACAGAAGGATATCAGCGCTTCTACCATGACTGCTGGATTCAATCATGGGCGATAATCAGCCACAGACCAGTTTCTCTGTAACTCTGATCTTTCTGAATGAGAACGACTTGAAGCAAGATCTGCCGACTGCCAGTCAACATCAGGAGCTTAGACTTCAGATCCGCGGAGAGGCTGGCGACATCTGTCTGACCGTTAACAACGGTAATTATAACACAGATATATTATACGGTGCTTGATTCTGATTGGCTGAGCCGCGTTCGAAGCTGTTGTAAAATACTCTACAAACACACACCTCTTTGTTTACTTCTGTGTGCTGCTCGGCAAACACTTTGTAGCAACCACAACTGTTTCTGAGGAGCTACATTGTTTGGTGGAAGAATACTGTTTTTATTTATATCATTACACTTTATTTGCTCTGTTTTATTCTATGAAACCGTACTGCGTCTATGGAATAACCGTTTTATTTTCTCCGCTTCGCGTCGTGCCTTAGCTGTTATAAATTCACTGTAAACCACGGCTTCTTGGGGATTCTTGCTTTAACAAAACGCTATGTTACACATCGAAGATAACGTGCACAGAGCTACACAGTTAATGTAACGGTGGTTTGGGAAGAACTCTGAGTAATATATCATTCAAAGGTATTGAAATCTTAGACTTTAGATGACAGACTTACGTATTTTGGCAAGTAGCTATAAGCAAACATGTTTTTTTACAGTGTCATTGAGTTATGTTTATTATTATTGTTGTTATTATTATTAGACGTTTATTTAGGCGTACTTTTAGAAATTGTTGAGATAGCTTCTGAGTCTATGACAATGATTTGGCGTTGTTGCGCGCTACATGTATTTCCTGTAGTAGTAATGCATGATTACAAGCAATTAACATTAAACCAAACACTAACCCTAAAAATATGTTGTTACTTAACATTTCACTTATTTGTGCATTTTAAAATAAAGTGTGAACGGAGAAACATCAGACAAGCAAGAGACAATATGTAGGATTTTTTAATTCAAATATCTAAAAACCACTAGAACAGTGTTATATATTTTGCTGACTTTTGTACTTATCCCAAATGTTTTGAAGAATGTTTAAATCCAGAGAAATAAGCAATTTTAACTAGTGGCACAGAGCGTGTCTATAGTGTCATTGTGTCGCCTGCCGAAGACGTCATAAGCCCTCGATTTCCGGCTTTGTTTTGTAGAAAATATAGAAACACCAAATACGCTTTAATATGTTGTGTGTTTTAATAGACCGGTGACGACCGCACAGAGTAGCATTATAACAGAACTTTCAAACGTATCTAGTGTGATAAAACAGCGCTGCTTTACCCCACATACGCACGACCGGAAGCAGCGGAAGCGCTCGACTGTGGCATAATAAAAGCTCCGCTGCTTTACCCCACATACGCACGACCGGAAGCAGCGGAAGCGCTCGACTGTGGCATAATAAAAGCTCCGCTGCTTTACCCCACATACGCACGACCGGAAGCAGCGGAAGCAGCGGAAGCGGTCGACTGTGGCATAATAAAAGCTCCGCTGCTTTACCCCACATACGCACGACCGGAAGCAGCGGAAGCGCTCGACTGTGGCATAATAAAAGCCCCGCTGACGTAGTGAAGAACCCAAGTGCAGTTTATTTACAGTGTGATCCAAACATCCAAACAATAATCTGAGACTTGACTTGACTTGATTAGGCATGAACAGACTTGACGAGGCATGAACAGACTAGACTCACCGACAGCGGGTTACAACATCAATACACGACGAGAGACAATGGCAACATGATGGCTACTTATAGCAAACAAGAGGGTCACAAGACAAGAACAAACCAATGGGAAACAACACACATGACTAAGACAACCAATCAGAACATGACACAATGAATAGAGGAACCAATGGCATGAATACATGAGGGCAAGGGAAGCATGACACAAACAGGGACCATGACTAAACTCCAAAATAAAAGACATGAAAACATGAACAAGAAACACAACCCAAAACACCACATTACAATTAGCTGTAAAAACTGAGATATTATTGAGATCTCATTGGTGATTTTTCTTTCCTATGGATCACTATGCTCTTTTCGGTTACACTTTATTTTAAGGTGTCCTTGTTACAGTGTAGCCTACTTACTATATGATTAGGGTTTGGTTTAGGGTTACTTGCATGTAATTATGCATAAATAATAATTATAATAGTAAGTACATGTAACATGTGTAACAAGGACACCTTAAAGTGTTACCCTTTTTTCATTTCATTTTTTTTTTGTAATTAATTAGTCAGTCAATATCATGTAATGCCCATTTTCAGTATGTGCTCCTGTCTGAATAATATGAAGATTGAGGAACCACATGGAAGCATTCACACTGTAAATAACGTCATATCATACGCATTTCTCCACTGGCTCTTTGTAGTGTCTTGTTTATTGGTTGAAGGGCAAATGAAGACTCTTTATTCAGGTGTGCCACACATTTTCTGGAGTCTCATTGTGTGGTCTGGTACTGACAGATGGCCAGATTTACGGCTCCGCTGTTCATTCTCCGTGAGCAGCGAGGCTGTTCTGCTGCTTGAGCTCTAGCATCGCCTGCACCCGACTCTGTTTTCTTTGACATGGTACACTGGTCCTGGCCGCCAGCGCTTCCTGTCTAGGACACAGACACAGTCATTTCTGATGTCTGCTCATGGCTGGAACCTGTGATTTTTCTGTAGAGCACAAAAGGAGATGTTTAGTAAAATGTTTATGCTTCTGTTTCCTTTATTGAAAACACTTAGTGACCACAGGCTGTTCAGCTTGAAAACAGTTAAAGTTTTCATTGAAAATCTTTGAATAATGTATTCATAATCTGAACAGATTTGGAGAAATGTAGCATTGCATCAGTGTCTCAGCAATGGATGCTCTGCAGTGAATGGGTGCCGTCAGAATTCGATTCCAAACAGCTGATAAAAACATCACAATAATCCACAAGCAATCCACACCTCTCCACTCCATCAGTTAATATCTTGAGAAGACAAAAACTGCATGTTTGTAAGAAACAAATCCATCCTTAAGATGTTTTTAACTTCAAACCTTTGCTTTTTGTCAAAATATCCATAATGGAAAAGTGAATCCAAACAAATATTTGTTTAGAGCTGTTTTGGACTGTTTAAACAGTGCTTGATGTGTGCAGATTTCTCTCCTGATTCAGACCTTTTCACTTAATAAAGCAATATGGTGGATTGATAACTTTTTATTTTTAGTTTTGAAGTTAATATAATTTCCAATGCGATTTCAAAAGGGGAAGAACAGCATTTATTTGAAACAGAAATCTTTTGTAAAATTATAAATGTCTTTACTGTCTCTTTTGCTCAATTTAATCCATCCTTGCTGAATAAAAGTGAAATTCTTTAAAAAAAAAATTGGTTGCCACATGACATGCCAAGTTTGAATATGCGTAAGTGCAAATGAGATTTGAGAGTTGCAAAAGAAAGGAAGATGTGTAGTGAATAGCGATGAAATTTTGGATCGTGTACGGTTTCAGAAGACGTGGAACAAAGTACATGAGTTTAATGAACTACTTTTTTGTACTGTTGGGATCTTGGCAATATAAATCACCATCCACTTTAGTTAATTTTTCAGACATTTTCCTTTTGTATTCTGTGTCTAAGGAATGACATGAGGGTGAGTGAATGATGACAGATGTAGGGTGACATAATCCTTTCATTGTTTTATCAGCATTCATATGCCCAGTGTATTCTTATGCTTCCAGATGCTGGCGTTTGTGTTTTTAAGTTCTCCATCACGATGGACACCGAGTGTTGTCGGGTGGCCACCCGCTCATTCCTCATCACTCTGGGCTGTTTCAGTATCATCATGCGCTTCAGCACCCAGTCAGGTCAGTTATCTGCATTTATCTAGACCTCTCATCACTCTTTACCTCAAAATTGGCATATTTAAGTCAGATTTCTGCCTGATCCATCTTCCAAACGGGACAGAAATGTTTCGATCTCACGTGACCCTTTAGCAGAAGCCAAAAGTCACATCAAACGCTGTTCAAGACTCGTAGCATTATTAATTCTTTGTTGCTTTTCAGTATAATTTGGTTAATATTTTTCTTCTAGTATTACTAATCCAAGATCAGAGTATGAAGCATTTCGCTCGTTTTCCTCTGAGAAGCATTACGTTTTTCCAGCACATCTGTTGTACATCTGTATTTGCTTTCCAACTATTTGAAAATCTGGAATCTGAGGGTGCAAAAAATCCAAATATTGAGAAAATCGTCTTTAAAGTTGTCCAAATGAAGTTCTTAGCAATGCATATTACTAATCAAAAATGAAGTTTTGATATATTTAATGTAGGAAATTTACAAAATATCTTAATGGAACATACTTTATTTACTTTACTTACTAATACTTTACTTAATTGCCAAATGATTTTGGGCATAAAAGAAAAATCAATAATTTTGACCCATACAATGTATTGTTGGCTATTGCTACACATATACCCCAGCGACTTAACACTGCTTTTGTGCTCCAGGGTCACATTTTTCTATAACACTATAAAGGTATAAAGCCTAGATAAAAGGCTTTGTCAAATAAATAATTGTAAAAAAGTTACTGAGTGCACCGTTGATATTTTTAAAAATGAAAGTCTTAGCGAAATATATAATAACTGGTGTGTTTGTTTTCTTAATTTTCAGCAGTAGCTCAACTGAAGCCTTTATTTGTATGGTATTTCATGTGTTTGTAGGTGGTTCTGGATGTGGGCTGTGGAACAGGGATATTGTCCTTCTTTGCCGTCCAGGCCGGGGCTAGGAAAGTGTACGCGGTGGAGGGCAGTTCTGTGGCCAAATATGCAGAAGTACACACAATCCTATTTATGATTCATTTACTCACCCTCGTCAGTTCAAACACATATGAGTTTCTTGCTGGAACACAAAGCATGCTCTGCGTGTTTAGCAGGATGTTTTCCACGCAATGTGTTAGAAGTATTATAAAAAATAGTCTGTGAGACTCATGCAGTATAGTGCACGTCTTCTGAAGTCATACCATATCTTTGTGTGTGGAACAGACTGAAATGTAATTCTCCTGCTCAAAATCTTGTTTACTACCGTGGCTCTCAAATCTTATTCTCACTTCTACATATTCAAATGTCAGCTATGAGACATGTGAGAGCCATTCTGCAGCACTGACGAGTGACAGATCTTCATGCAAATTTGAATATACACAAACTAAAGTTAAATCTGAGTGTTTTCCCGAAAATAAAGGTTTGGGTTTGGCTTAGATTGGGGTCTGTTCCTCACACAGAGTTGTTGTAAGCCTTTAGACAAGTTAGATCACACACAGACTACTTTTATGATTCCTTCATGTCATTTTTTACAGCATCTTTTCCCATACACTTTAGTTGAATGAACATTCTTCAAAATGTCTCCTTTTTTGTTTTATGGAAGAATCAAAATCATATGGCTTGGAATGACATGGAGGGAGTAAAGTCAAACTTCCATTTTTGGGTGAATTAACTAATTAATCATAATATTGGGAAATCTGATAATCAGAAAATCGCCAGTACCTTTACATTTTTCTATGGATTTTTTTTGTAGCAATTAAAGGAATAATTCACCCAAATATTTGCTTAAAGGGGTCCTATTATGCTTTTTCACTTTTTTAAATTTTAGTCAGTGTGTAGTGTGTATGTTTGGGCGTTTTGTAGCAATTAAAGGAATAATTCACCCAAATATTTGCTTAAAGGGGTCCTATTATGCTTTTTCACTTTTTTAATTTTTAGTCAGTGTGTAGTGTGTATGTTTGGGCATAAAAAAGATCTAGAAAGTTACAAATCTCAAAGTCCACTCCAAAGGGAGATATTTAGTTTTAAAAAAATCCTTTTTCAAGAACTACAGCAAACGGCTTGTTTGGACTACAACGTTTGGTTTCCCGGCTTTATGATATCACAAAGCGGCTCATTAGAATTTCATTACAAATAATTCCCGCCTACAGAAAGTCGATTGGTTGGGGGGTGGGGAGGGGCGAGGTCGTGGTAAGAACGCTTGGTTGAGTGATCGCATCAGACGAGACGACGAAGAATGTTTCTCTTATTGCTTCATACGTTTGTTATATTTGACTGTAAGTGCCCTGCGAAGTGGACATTACTGGATATTCCTCCATGATTCCAGTTTGAAGGGAGCGTATATGTTCCAAACAAAGGGCATTTAAGTGTTGCACCTGCAGACCATCCCAGATGTAGAGGAGTTTGTTTCTTCATCAGGTTTGTAGAAATGTAGCATTGCATCAGTGTCTCAGCAATGGATGCTCTGCAGTGAATGGGTGCCGTCAGAATGAGAGTCCAAACAGCTCATAAAAACATCACAATAATTCACACCACTCCAGTCCATCAGTTAATGTCTCGAGAAGTGAAAAGTGAAAACAAACCTATCATTAAGACATTTTTAACTGTCATTTTATACCAAAATACGAGTCCATAATAACACTTCCTCCGGGGAAAAAGTCCATGCCCAAAATCTACTTGCTTGTTGCTGTTTTGGACTGTTTTCACTTGTAAGTGGTGTTTGATCTGTGCAGATTTCTCTCCTGATTCAGACCAGACCACTTTATTTTCACTGGACAAAGCAATATTATGAATGGAGGACTTATATGTTAGCCTGAAGCAACAACTTGAAGTAAAAAAAAAATAAAAAATTCTTAATGATAAAACACACACCCTTTTCACTTCTCAAGACATTAATTGATGGACTGGAGTGGTGTGGATTACTTGTGGATTATTAAGTAACAGCTTCGCGTCATGCCTAACAACGCTCTTTAGCTGTTATAAATTCACTGTAAACCACGGCTTCACGGGCCTTACTGCTTTTATAAAACGGTTATTCCATATACGTAGTAAGGTTTCACAAAATAAAACAGAGCAAATAAAGTGTAATGATAATATAAACAGTATTCTTCCACCAAACAATGTAGCTCCTCAGAAACAGTTGTGGTTGCTACAAAGTGGCTGCCGAGCAGCACACAGAAGTAAACAAAGGTGTGTGTTTGTAGAGTTTTTTACAACAGCTTCGAACTGTTAGCCAATCAGAATCAAGCACCGGAACTATCCGTTTTATATTGTGATGTTTTTAGCAGCTGTTTAGACTCTCATTCTGATGGCACCCATTCACTGCAGAGCATCCTTTGGTGAGCAAGTGCAAATGCAATGCTACATTTCTCCAAATCTGTTCAAATGAAGAAACAAACTACATCTTGGATAGCCTGAGGGTGAGGACACTTTTTTTTTTAGCAAATTTTCGTGGGTGAACTATTCCTGTTAAATAAATCACAGTGCACAGTGAGGACATAATGTGTTTTTTGGCCAGCTGTTGGATGTGCTAGGATGATAAATCACTCATCACTATCTGTGCTGTCACACCCATTTGGCATGAAGTTCAGGGCTATGGGTTTTGTGGAAAAATAACCAGGCCGGGACAACTTTTCTGGAACATTTTCACAGGGCAACACCTTCAAGAGTCCTTCAGAAGGATCTTTCCTGCACGTCTGGAATGCATGACATTCTGGCTGCTAAATGACTTGAAGACAGATTTGGCCCAGAAACCTGCGTCGTGGGCAAGGACACGTGTTTTCATGGATAAAGACTGCTTTCTTAACAGTGCTAATAAGCGCTATTTTTCTCATTTAGTGGAAAGCTCTTGTTACTCTTGTAGTATTTTGTAGACTACTACCACATGTGTTTGAGTTTCTATTGCCACATCTGATTTATACAACTAAAGTTCCAAATATAACACACAAAACCTTTAACTGTTCATCTCTAAATTATTTCCTTTGTTTAGAAAATAGATTACTAAGGAATGTTTTGTGTAAGTTTGCAAGGTTGATAATCAGACCCATATTTTAAAACTCTTCCTCAGTGCTTGTAAGGAATTTTCCATTTAAAGTTTAAAGTGAATGCTGCCTATTTTAAAACAGCAACCTTAAAGTTACAAATGTGTAATTACAAATATATTAGTTTTTAAAGAATAGAAATTATTACATTAAAGTTTATTTTAGTTTGCCATAAATGTTTGTCAGTACATTTGACAGTAAACTTTTAAAATATTTGAAAGACAATCGAATTATGAAATAACATTACTGCATTTAATATAAATTAAAAATATAATACGTTCATTTAGTTGCAATTAAGATGTACCTAAGTGCCTGAAAACATTAAAAGAATAAAAGTGTGTGAACTGAATGTAAAGTATATTCTTTCAATAGTAAGTACTTAAAAAAAATACAAAAGCAAATAAATAAATAAATCACATGAGCATGCTCATATTTTTGTTAGGCACTTAATTGCTCATATAATTCCATACGAATTATTTGTTAGCCATCCAAGTTGTAAGCTGATTTGTAGACAACTGACACAATTCCTGTAATTTTGTCAGTGTAAATTGCTTATAATATTAAGTTTTGTTTTAACTTATAAGTTTATAATATAACTTTACACAGTTAGTAGTGATGCACTAGTCTCATTAGCATATAATCTTGTGGTTCTACTTAAAAACAAAAGTTTTTTTGATGTTTATTCTGGTGCAAGGTATTGCCCCATAGTATTCCATTATAAATGCATCACCGTGAATGAGATGCTATTGATAAAGCTTAAGTTGTTTTGTCATTCTTGTCTCTTCAGATTCTAGTTCAAACCAATAACTTGTCCAACAAAATCACAGTTTTGTCAGGAAAGATTGAGGAAGTTTGCTGCCCAGAGAAGGTGGATGTGATCATCTCAGAGCCCATGGGCTACATGCTCCTCAACGAGAGGATGTTAGAGAGCTATCTGCACGCCAAAAACTGGTTAAAACCCAAAGGTCTGTGCATCCGACAACAGTCATCACATTTCCCTGTACACATATATAATATGTTGTGTTCAAATGTTATGGGTTATTAGTTGTACTGGTTTTCTCTCACTGTCCAGGCATGATGTTCCCGACTCAGGGTGACATTCATCTGGCTCCTTTCACTGATGAACAACTCTACATGGAGCATCACGCTCGCTCCCACTTCTGGTAATAACAACTCCTGCCTTCTATACTGTAGCAATTCTCCACCCTGCAGTTTTCATTCATAGAAAGAACATCTGGACATCTGGGAAACATAACATCTGCTTTTTAAGTTTTTTTGCCTATGCATGGTTTGAAGAGATCGACCAGTGTCATATAGGACTAAAGATTTTTCTACGTCATTCATTTAATCCATTAGTCCATAACTAATTGCACATTTATATTAATTTAATAATTTAAATATATACTGATGGAGAAACGAAACCATAATGAGCCTTCAATATATAGCCTATTCCAGGGGCGGATTTAGTGAATTGGGGGCCCCAGGCAAAATATAGGAATGGGGCCCTATACATTTGCAGACATTTTCCTAGATCAACCTTGAGGTTCCTTTTCTGTTGTGATGCTTGCTGCTGCACAATGGTGCCCCACAGTTGTGTCCAATGTTTCTACATTTTTCATGTACATGTTATAATGGCTTCCTTTCGTGTTCTAGACCACAAAATAGCAACTGATTTACAGTTGAGATACAGGTTTTCACAAAAACAAAATAAATTATAAAATGATAAACCTCACAATTGAGCATTTAAACCAGGGGTGAGTCAGAAGTATAAATTATGATATTCATTTAAAACGGGGTTATGTGGGTGGATTTTCGCATTGGTCTGAACAAAAACTACAGACTGGATTATTGAAAGTGAACATTGATTCTCTGCCAGCAGGAGGCGCTTTAGAAACGTCAGAAATATAGCGGTTTCCCCGGTAAACAATCTCATAAGCGCTACTTTATCAGATAAAATGAAAATGTCATCAAAACTTTTCTGAAGACAGTTGGTTCCATTCAGAGATTCATTCATATAAAACCTTGAATTAGTGAGAATGAGAAAAGTGTGAAAAAATATAGTCTATATTGACGAGGAAAGTCCGCTGATGAGTTACCATCGTAAGCCTGTGTGCAAAGGCATGTCTAATTCTAAACTTTAAAATACATTTATTTTTAGTTATTTTAACTACAAATTAAAATAAAACTGAAAAAATAATGAAAAGGCAATTATACATTTACACACCTAAGGATTATATCAACCAAAAAAGTAACTGCATATGTGTCCTCTACTTGGTTCCTTCTTATAAATGAGTAAGCGGCATTTAAAACAATTATAAACATATAATACACACTGTTTCTCAATATTGTATATGACAGTTTCAGATGCATGATATTTTCATCTCCTTCAAGCAGAATACACAAGAAGCACATTCAACTCGGACGGCTGTCGTGGTAATAAACACGTAAACAGCAACCGTTCGCGTGTCAGCGCTTAATGCACATCTCATATATGAAAAGCATTTTAGGGGGCCCCTGGCTTTTGGGGGCCCAAGGCGGTCACCTACCTTTGCCTAATGGGTAAGTCCGCCCCTGGCCTATTCAAGCGCACACATAAAGCTTACCGCAAAGCACCGACAAAAGTAATGACTATGAATGTGTGTTGGAAAAAAAACAGCAAGATGTTTTAATTATTTATTAATAAACTAGTGTCTGTGAGGCCGGTAGCGAGCGGCCGTGTGAAGTAGCTAATACTTACATGTTTTAATTTCAAATGATAAGCCACATTTAAGGTCGATGAATGATAGGAGAACGTTTGGATATTTCTGCCCGATATACTGAAATTACCAAAAGGACCAGCTGTTAACTGTTATCTGTTCATTACGGACTGTGTGGCTTCACGTTGCCTAGCATTTAGTCAAGTATTAAGGGGGCAGCGGTAGTCGAAACGCAATAGTTCACCGCAAAAAAATTAAAACTTGGCTATCAATTACTCACCTCTTTTATGTCTTCCATGTAGGGCTGCAAAACGATTAATCGCGATTAATCGATTCAAAATAAACGTTTATGTTTAAATACTATCTGTGTGTGCACTGTGTATATTTATTATGCATATATAAATACACACACATACATGTATATATTAAGGAAAAATATGTTAGATTTATATGTAAAATATTTATATTTATGTTAGTGCTGTCAACCGATTAATCGCGATTAATCGTATCCCAAATAAAAGTTTTTGTTTACATTTTTATTTATTTGTGTGTACTATGTATATTTATTATGTATATAAATACACACACATACAGTTTATATTTTGAAAATATTTACATGTTGTCACTTGTAGCTATGGAAAGCACACAACGCAGGAGAAGAAATAAACAAAGTCATTTTAATAATAAATCCACAAGCAGGAGACAAACACAATATCAACATCAATACCATAACTAAGGAGCTAGGGCAAATCACAGGGCTTAAAAACTAGAAAAGGTAATTAGGGAGAACTGAAACAGGTGTGGAGCTAATTAATCAAAAACCATGGACACTAATAGACAAGGGAACTCGGGGAAATGTGGAGACAGAAACAGAATATAACTGTGACACATGTATATTTATAAATAAATGTAATATATAAACATAACATTTTTCTTAAATATATATATGCATGTGTGTGTATTTATATATACATAAAAAATATACACAGTATACACTTATATTACGTAAACAAAAAACTTTTATTTTGGATGCGATTAATCATTTGACAGCACTAGTTTATATATAATATAAATTATATACATGTTTACATAAAGACATTCAATATATATAAATATTTTTTAAAATATATACATATATGTGTGTGTATTTATATATACAGTGCCTATAAAAAGTATTCATACTCCTTCATTTTTTTCACGTTTTGTTATGTTGCAGCCTTATGTTAAACTGCTTAAATGTACTTTTTTTGTCCACATCAGTCTACACTCCATACACCGTAATGACAAAGTGAAAACAGAATTGTCACAACTTTGTAAATTTATTAAAAATAAAAAAAAACTGAAATAAGTAGGCTACATGCCTAAGTATTTACATTGCATAAGTATTCATACCCTTAACTAAATATTTAGCTGAAGCAACTTTACAACCTCATCTTTTTGGGTTTGATGCGACAAGCTTTGCTCATCAGCATTTGGCAATTATCTGCCATTCATCTCCTCATCTCTTCACCTCTCAAGCTCTGTCAGGTTGGATGGGGCAGACACACATTTTCAGGTTTCTCCAGAAATATTTGATTGGGTTCAAGCTCAGGCTGTGGCTGGGCCACTCAAGGACATTCACACAGTTGTCTATAAGCCACTCTTGCTGTGTTTAGGGTCATTGTCCTGTTGGAAGGTCAACCTTCTGCCCAATCTGAGGTTCTGAACACTCTGGACTGGGTTTTCATTAAGGCTATCTCAATATTTTGGTGCATTGAGCTTTTCTTCTACTCGGACGAGTTCATCAGTCCCTGCCACTGAAAAACAGCCCCTCAGCATGAGGCTGCTACCAGCACACTTTACTCTTGGGATGGTACTCTGCAGGTGATTTGCCATTATGGTGTATGGAGTGTAGATTGATGTGGAAAAAAAGTAATTTAAAGCAGTTTAACGTAAGGCAGCAACAGCAAAATGTGAAAAAATGAAGGGGTATGAATACTTTTTATAGTCACTGTACATAATAAATATACACAGTACACACACATATAGTATGTAAACATAAACTTTTATTTAGAATCGATTAATCGCGACTAATCGTTTTGCAGCTCTACTTCCTTGCAGTTACAATGAATGTGGACGATGAAAATAAATAGAAATGGTTCATATGGCTCATGCACTAAATGCGATTTTGAGAGTGAATCCCGCATTTATATGCGGATGTCATTCCTGACACTTTGCAACATGGCCGTTGTTCCTCTTATCAGCTTGAAAAATTAGGCTTTTGTTCAAATTCTGAGTGGATTATACAGTATATAACCTATAAAGCGCACAGAGTGCTCTCTTTATAATCACTAAAAGCTGTCACTCCACTTCATCGCGATCTCAACTGCACAATATGCATCATATCTGCACAATGAGAGGATTCGCACGAGTGCACAGAACTCAACACTGAACAAAAACTCAGGTGTTTTGAGCACTGAGTGGATTTTAACTGAAAAGCTTCTGGCCATTGCATTCAAGAAATCAACAGATATGTCTGTGATTGGCTGCATTGCTCAACGTTGTAAATAGAAACCTTTGACACTCTCCAGAAAGCAAACACAAATACGCATTAGAGCGTTTGACAAAAGTGACACCAATGTCAGATTACACTCCTGTGTGTGACATCTCAAAGCAACATATCTGCTGATATCTGTGAATCAGAGTCGAGGCAAATGCTTACTGCACGCTGAAAAGAGGCCTCAATTACTATTTACGATCGCAACTGATTGTTTGGGGTTTGTAAGTTTTTTTAATGGAAATTAATGTGTTTATTCAGCAAAGATGTAACTGGTCAAAAGTGACGGTAATAAGTAAATAATTCTGAAAAAGTATCACATTTCCATAAAAATATTAAGCAGTACAACATCATGTGACACTGAAGACTGGAGTAACGATGCTGAAAATTCAGGAATAAATTACATTTTACAATACATTCACATAGAAAACTGTTATTTTAAATAGTAATAATATTAAATAATATGACTGTTCTTACTGTATTCTTGATCAAATATATGCAGCCTTGGTGAGCAGTAGAGATTTCTTTCAAAAACATTAAATAATCTTGTTGCCCCAAACTTTTGAACAGTGGTGTACATTAGAAAAGAACAAAAGCTTGCATGATAAAATGCCAAAGTGGCTAAAGGAGGATTGGTGGTGGGGCTTTGCAAAAAAATCAAACATTGATAACACATAACCATATGTGCATAGACCTAAAAAAAAATATGATCTTACATTAACATACAATGATAAAGCATATAACTCTTTTGATTTTACAGCTTCACGATAAACTAGGTTTTACTGAATAATTCATTTGTTTCATAATTTAAAAAAGGTCTTTAACAAAAGTACGAACTACACCTCCGTGTATTTAGGCCTTCCCAAAAACTGGCTCATGTACTGTATTACTGTAGACATTTTTTGGCTCTACAAAATAAAACAAAATTATTATCTACGGGAATGGGTGTTTTTCCACAAATGGAACATTTCTTTAATAGTACACATGAACATGCTGCTACAGACCCTCTCAATGCATCACACTGAATGTTTACAGCCTCATCCATGATGGTTTATTTTACAACGGCCCACAGGGGGTTGTGGTTTGCTAGCATGGAAAGACAGTAATGGTCCCACCGCCCACATGCCTGCACTGTACTTGCACCGTGCCGTGACCAAACTGAAGCCAAGCAGCTTCCCGGTGCTGTAAAACGCTGTGCTTCAATCCAAAACCTGACTCATGGCACAGAGCTCACTCCTCTCTGTCTGTGCTGTTAAACTCAAATGACTGTGAGGAGTTTATGACAGATAATGTTACCAGGTGTCATGTCAAGTTGAACACCCAATATTTGTGTTAGAACAGAAAAGTCTCATGTTTTGCAGTGGGTACATGATGAAATGTTCATCTGTAGAGCTTTGAAACTTAGATCTCTTTTTTGGCTTAAGTTGTAGAGCTTCTGAGCTTTTGGGAATGACATTAAGCTTTGGCTGGTTATACCAGAACTGCACCAATATGTGGGGAAAAAAAGATTCTCTCTTGATAGCCATTGTATAATATATGGATAGTTGTATTTTATTAGCATTTAACATTGTTCTTTCCTCTTGTCGAAACCCACTGGTTTCCATAGTGATAAAACCACTCCTCTAAAACAAGGGTGCTCAACAGGGGCCCACTTTGTATTTCTACAAACTTCCAAACGGGCCTCAAGATGTAGAAATAAGACAAGACAAGCATTTAAATGAGCTAGAACAACTAAAATATGTCTTTTTTATTTTAATTAACCCCCTCAACAACTGTTTTTCGTCTTTGAAGAACCAGGGTTCCCACAGTCTTGGAAAATCTTGATATATGAGCTAGTCTAATTTTAAGTTCTAGACCTGGAAATGTCGTCTAAATCAATAAAATCTTCAAACACCATGGCCGTTTTTATAATAAATAAATAAATATATATATATATATATA